AAAAAAAACATTGCTTTTAGGAAACAGGCTGCTAAAACATTCAAGCTTTGAACAGAATCGTATGTCTTGTTTTTTGTATTCTATTTATTTAAGTTGCTATATGGGTAATGTAATTTCTCTGAAGCTAATATGTGAATAACATGAAAGCAAGCTTATCAAACAAGTAAATGCAACGTCCAGCAAATTATTTAATGTAGAATGTAAACTTTTAAACGTTATGGCTTTGATGTCTCCACATTGTTGACATTAAAAAAGACACTGTAGCAGACAGCGATGGAGAGCAGATTTCTTCTGGTTTCCTTCGATTATCTGAAAGAACAAGAAAATACACGTTTCATCCAATTAGATTTTTTTACATTTGACTCTTAAAGGAACAGTGTGTAGGATTTAGTAGTATCTAGGGGTGTAATTTCAGATTGCAACCAACTTGCCTCACCCTGCCCTTCCAAGCATGTAAGGGAAACAGCGGTATCTGTGAAACTTGTAAAAAGCACAAAAAGCCCTATCTGGTATAGTATGTATTGTGTTTGTTTTGTCCATTCTGGGCTAGAAACATGATGGTTCAACATGGCAGCCTCCGTACAGGACCTGCTCTCTTTGTAGATAAAAAGGGCTCAAAAACACAATGATTCTTATTTTCAGGTGATTATCCACTAATGAAAACATACCAATAAATATTATATTTCATATCTGCCAAAAGAGTTAAATGTTACACACTGGACCTTTAAAGCTGCATTCTAGTGGGAAAAAAGGTCTTAAAATGCTTAAACTTAATAATAACAAGTTTAAATGCCAGGCTTGTGATCGGATGTCCTTATCGTGTTAACATATGCAGATACAGGTATGAATTAGGTTAAAAATTGATTGGTGCCCAAAGAGAAATGAACAATCCATTGGACAATAGCTTTTCTGTGTGTCTGCTGAAACTGTGCATGAACAAGCTTGATTTGGGATTTCTACAGCCCTTTCTTGTGGCCAAAACGTATTGATGCAGCTTTAAATACTTTTAACTGTATTTGTTTATTTTTGGTTTAACTGTTGAACACATCTAAAACTTCCTCATGCATTTCAGTGAAGTTCTTTGTTTCACTTCTCACCTTCAGGTTCTGTGCCTGATAAGATCATAGAAAAGAGAGAACAGAAAATAAGATGACATCAATATATATATAAATATAAGCATAGATCTCGTCAAAAACAGTGACAAAAAAAGATATGTGAAATGACTGTGAGGCAGATGATGGGATAATGTGTGAAAGTTTACGGTTTAACAGTACAGCACAGGATATGTCACTAAATTATAATATCTATAAAGATAAAAAAAAAACTTAAAATGCCTTTAATGAGAATGGCCTACAGTCATTTCAGCTGTTATAGCTGTATGAAATCCTTAATAAGCTGTACTACTATCAGAGATTCCAGACATTTTGGGGACAAAATATATATCTATAGTATCTCATGCTCCCCAACTCCAAAAAATAAGTGTTTTTTCTCACCTGCGAGACAGTCTGGAGAGTCGGTTTAACATGCTAAATGTGACCAATAAATTAATTAATACATGAATCACCTTCTCATAAAACTGAAAGAATTTAAAATGCTAGCTTTTGAATCTGATCCAAAAGAAATTCTACTAACCTGCCTTCTTGATTTTGGAGCTCTGCAATGCGTTTCCTTAAAGCAGACACAAGAAAGAGTAAAACCACCTAACAAACAAACTAGGAGAGGAAATACACCCCCTTTTTGTTAACGTTATTAAATGATCATTTTGTTCTCTGTAATGTAAGTTTTTACTGAACTCACTTGTATGTTTTCACCATTAAGATATAGAAGACTCCAAAGAGCACAGCAGTACCGATCCCCACCACTGTGGGAATGATGATGTGGTTGTAGTTTTCTGCACCTGCAAACAGACAGAATTTATATAAGAGCCATTTCTTCCTCCATACTGCACAAATATATCCAGTTATAGAATCTTTAAAATAAAGGACATCCTCAAAATTCAACAGCAGAGTGAAAAGATCTCACGTTTTTACATAGAGTTGCATTGTTTTAGAGGACTTGAGCTTTCCATGAAATTCTGCTGTGCAGGTGACATCAGTGTGGTCATCCTTCTCCTCAGGAATGAACGTCAGGATGGACTGCACCTCCCACAAGCCCTTTGAATTTCTCTGCGGATCTCAGTGGCCATGGTCTGCAGTTCCCTTATTCATGTGAGTTTTAGGCACGTGGGAGGGCAGGTATGGGTGACTGAACAGGTGAGAGTGTACGGATGATTTGAATGGCTGTATTTGCGGAAGTCATTGTAGGTTTTGAGGATCAGCTATAAATTAAAAGAGATAGGAGTAAGAGGCAAATCACTGTCACATGAAAAATTGTTATTATTAAAATCTTTATAAGACTTTTTAGAAAGTTGGTGACATACTGAGCATCTTAAACTCGACACACTGCTCAACAAAGGAGAACTTGTCAGTGGTGGATGTATCAGTCGATGTTTTTGCTAACTCAATCCTGAAACAGAAAGGGCCATTGTCATGGTCTTTAATGTCAATGATTTCTAAGGTGCAGTTGTTCTGACCCAAAGCTCCCAACAACTTTGTGCGGCCCCTAAAGCTGTCTAAGATTAGTGTGTTATCCTCGTGATAGATGCGTTCATCTCCACTGTTTGAACGATGCCAGATTCCTCTGAGCCTGGACGTGGGCAGGGGTCCTCTAGGATGGGTGAATGAACAGGGTACCACAACACAGGATGAAACCAGGACATCAAGGTTTTTTACAACATCAGCCTTCCATTCTTCAGTAAAAACAGGGCTGCTAAGAGCTGAAAGAGAATTATGGAAGTAAAAAAGAAAGAAATTACTGCTAGGAGTTTTCTTTCAGTGATTTCACAATCTGGTGGCCCCCACCTTTTTTTTCCTAGACAGCTTTTCTATTATTGAGTAAACTGACGACTCCTGACTAAGTGAGATACTTAATGCAATTATAGTCAATCCATAACAGAACAACTGCACTGTACAATTAACACAAATAGAGAACACAAAAACTACAGGAATATTGCATCAGAAATACATTTTTACTGATATTTTTAGTAAGTTTTTATACAATTATCTGTCTGTATTGTGTTTTTTTTTCACAACCATACAGACTTTTCTAAATTTATTTCTTAATTTTAGTGTTTTATTCATTTATTCATGCATCTTTCTATTAGCTCTTTGGTTGTTTAAACTTTTCTGATGCAGGACGAGGAAGTACATATCCTAAATCATAACCTACACTTGCATTCAGTTAACTTCACAGACATTAATGAAATGCTGAGACATAGGGCTACTATAAGTTTTCTTACACTCCTTAAAATCAAGAAGCCCCCACGACCCCAAGTGGGTGTCAGGATCCCAAGGTTGGGAACCACTGAACTAGGATGTACAATATGTACATCCTATTGAGATTGGAAACAAAGAGGTGACTAATTACGTTACCTGCCATGAGCAGACAGAATATCATCATCTTCCTCTCTTTGTCCTTACGTCTCTGAGGTTCTGTTGGTGTAATACACTGTGGGATCTTTAGATGAAATGAAACTAAATAAAAAATACAATTGTAAGCATTACCCACCACTATTACAATACTATAAATATACTTCAAACAACACTAATCTTTGCATTCAAGAGCCATTTATTGACACATCAAATACTGGCATTCTTAATGTCCTCATACAGGATATACACACATACACACTAATACATTAAAAGATTTCATCTAAATTGAAAATAGTTCCTTCCACATATGACTTTCTTTTCAATTCATTCTTATGCCTATTTTAACAAAGTCACACACACTTTGAAGAATTAAATACTCCCATTTAGACAAATATGATGATAAATAAGCTGCATTATTCCTAAATCCAGACAGCAGTATATGTACGATAATCTTTCAAAATGAAATATTAAAAGAAAGTGTGGTGAGTTACCAGAATCTTTTAAAGTAATTTCCCCACGGGGATTATTAAAGTATTTCTGATTCTGATTCTGATCTTACCTGATGAAGTCTGGCTGATCAGAGCTGTATGTTTCTCCTAAAAACACCTCCTGAAGAATGACTTTCTATTCTGCAGTTAACTTGACAAAGATGTGAACTCTACAGGCAACAGAAGAATGTATTTTTGTGTCTTTGTGTGGGTGAGGTGAAAGCAGATGTAGAGGCAGTAGCAGTAAAAAAATGTAGAAAGCTGGGAGTGGTCTCTTGTGTGTGATATGAGAAAAAAAAACCTCTTCCATGTTTGCATAGAACTGTTGCTAATATGTGAAATTCTGAAATTAAGTTTGATATGTTAAGATATAAATGCAATTTAAATATTTGATAGCATTCAAGAGCATGTGATTGCATAGTTTAACTTATCAGTGATCTTCAGTCAGAAATCAGAACTGTGGCACATTTTGTTTATTGGCTTTGCACTTGGGTAGAATGGCAATGACTATGAAGTAATGACTTTCAGCTTAAATTAACACACACATATCCAGTAAGCAGTGGACAGAATGGTGAACAGAGAGAAGATGGGCATGTTGTCATAAACTAAATTAATCTCTCTGTGATATGTAGATACACTGTCAAAAATGCCTTTGTTGCCCTTCTTGTGTCCTTTCTTAGCCCAGTTGGCATTCAGGGGAAAATTCTAATCAGCACATGCGACAGACCCATATCAACACAGAGATAATCAAGATTAAAAGAAAAGTGAAGATTGATGCATAAAAATGCCACAGAAGTTTCATAAAATGATCCCACAGAGGTCTCAGGATCTGCACCTTGGACAGTGATTGCCTGCACACAGTGCAGAATGTTAAACTCCTGCAAGATCAATGAATCATGGTTTTTGTTTGTTATTTTGGCCTGTGGTTCATAATGAAGCCTAACACTTCATTTGTAAATGTGCCACACTGTGTATGTTTTTTATTGTGTATGCAAATACATTTCTCACTTCTGCATTCAGTCCTGCTCTTCGTGTCTTGTCGAGGCATAACATAAACTATGAAGGTTTTAGTTCAGTCTACTGGACTATAATTACAGTCTGAAATGCCCAACTTCTCAAAAGAAAGAAACATGTTAACAGCCTGATACAAAACTTTTGTCTCTATAGCTGGCTATCTTGTTAACTGCATGGGTGTTAAATTTTTATATAACTCGCCATTTTTTTTTTTTTTTTTTTCAGGGCCGCTGCAGCAAGGACTCAGCCTTGGTACATGGGTCGCCAGCTCTACCCACTGAGCTAACCGGGCGCCCAACTCGCCATTTTTTAAATTTATTTTTATACTCTTTTTCAGCAAGAAAAAAAAGTTCTCCATGTGTAAATTTGTGTTTAAAGTCGGCAATAGTTCTTTCTTCACATCACATTTTGATCATGAGTGATGCTAAACCATCATCACTGGACTAACCAGGTGGCCACATTTTGGAATTACATGTAAACAAGAATCCAAGATTTCTGCGCCCTTGTTGTCAACATTTGACAACAAAAATTACAGTCAAAAGTGCGTAAATGGGATTATAAAAAATGCTCTATGCATCCCACGTCCATAAAGAAAGAAGAGGCAAAGGATTTGACATGCACATGGCGGAATACATTCAGAAACAGCATCCCCTTGAGTGGGTTACAGCCCTTTCGTCTGCAAAGACCAACTTCATGGGCCTCCATCGATACTACAGAGGACACAAGAACACTTTATAGAGCGGAACCATTGACAGAATATATAATGGACAGAGCTTCCGGGTCTAAAAAGTGGAGCCAACCCGGAAGTGTCTTAAAACCTGCATTCTATGTAAAGGCCAGCAGGGGGAGCGCCATTGGCTGCAATAATACACTGATACCATTCACTCTAATAGAGAATGAGCCAACTTGTCATTTCATTTATAAGCTCAGTAAACTATTTACTAATAAGTTTATGGTCTCAATCGCTAGATTCACGCGTTCTTCCACACATTATGATGTTCATTTAGTAAATTATGGTCCAATTTAGAGTAAAATAGACAATAAAGGGGCGCCCGGTTAGCTCAGTTGGTACAGCTGGCCACCCATATACACAGCGGCGTGGGTTCAAGTCCAACCTGCGGCCCTTTGCTGCATGTTGTCCCCCCTCTATCTGCCCCCCTTCCTGTCTCCTTCCAGCTATCTCTGTCAAATAAAGGCCAAAAAATATATATATAAAAAAAAAAAAATAGATGATAAAGCAGCGGATTTCTTTTACTCTTTGATTGACAGGTCATTGTCAGTGAGTCTGTGCAGCGCATGAAAGCCAGATCAAACTGACAAACTAGGCTGTGCTGATAAAATACGAAGCAAGATTCTGTTACTGGGTTGCCTATTTCTCACTATAAATCGTTTCAGAAACATATTTTAGTGTACTGTTTAGCTGTAATACAAGAGCGGCCATTGTTTTCTGCTACGAACAAATCAAAACTGCGCAGCCAATGAGCGCAGATCAACTCACAGTACGTCACGTCTGCTGACGGCAGCGAAGAACGCCAAACTCAAGGCTTCAAAACAGTACTTCACAAACCAATGGGTGATGTCACGATAGGTTCACACTTGAGTGGAACTGATATTAAAGATGCTTCTATGTGACTCCCCCGGTATGATGAGCCCATGGCCACCCATGTCAGAGGATTTAAATATGACCAAAGCAAACTCTTTGTCATATTTAAACGTAGAGGCAGACACCTACCTTGGTCTGACTGCTTGTCAGTGTTAGGTTGCATTTTGCTTCCTCTGATTACACAGGGCTATTGAAAATTGTATAACTCATCAGTGTTTGTGTAATGTGACAACATTTTATTTTGCGGATAACTTTTAACACTACATCCATAAGGGGGTTGTCTAAGAAAAAAAACACATTTAAAAAGTAGTGCCCAGGAGTGGGAACTTTCTAGACACTTACTACGGCCTACTTTTGATTGATTTAATTAATCATCAACTAATCATTTATGTCGAGAAATATTTGCTTTGATTTTGATCATGAGCTGTAAGTATGTGTGTGCATGTATGTATAAGCATTTGTAACCATCTTAGCACTCCATTGACTGACTGTACACATTGTGGTATAAAAATTAGAAGTATTTGGCAGTATACAGTGTTCCTGCTTTAGTTTCAGTTTTAGTTTAGCTTTCAGTTATTGAGCTTATTGAGGTGACCTAGTGATTATTGAGGTGACCTTACACTCTCCATTCAACTAGGTTGCAGCAAGGGAGTTTCAATAGAGGGTCTAGGCTATAATATAGGGGGAATGGGGTAAATAGTACAGCTAATACATAAATCAGATTAATCTATCTCATTAAATTAGATAAACACGCAAATAAAATAAACAATGTTGGGCTAGACTGAAACAACTGGAAGCTAGTTTAGAAAAGAGGAAAGTGTCACAAAATATGTAGACAAATTAGGAATACACCACTACAACACAGGAACCAACCCGAACCAAATCAAAACTGTTCTACCACACTCAATTTAGCTACTCACAGTAAGGTGACTCATGCCACACATTAAAGCAGACATGCAAGATGGCTATACCACTCTATCACTCAGTCCCACTAAGTTTTCCATCCTCACCGAGCACAAGGAATCAACTATTTACTATAGTTCAATCTGAAACCTGCATGGGAATAATATAGCAGTAGGGTGAACAATACAAATCTTAAGCAGGCTAATTTCTACTTACTTTGTGGTGTTTCATAATAATGATGCGTCACATGCTTTATGTCAGTGCTTTCTCAGTACACAGTGTTTGGATTTCATCTCCTCACTGTAGTCACATCAAGATAATTTATTAGAAAACTACACCACATAGGTGTAGTTTATCATTCAAAATTACCATATTTTTTCCTAATTGAGCACAACAGAATAACAATGCATCTACAAGCAGATTGAACCATTAAAGCTATTTATTTATATAAACTGGAAGTCAACACTTTAGCTCTGTCGCTGGTCCATTTTAATCCCAGTGTGACTGAATAGAGACAAAGCTATATATTTAAGTCACAGGCTTTTGTCTTGAAAAACAATTAAAAAAACAACAACAAACAAAACCAGATTATTTCAGAGATCTTTAATTAAAACCTAAACCCTCATTATGAAAGTGAAAATATATTCACACAACCGAAAAAAGAGGTTGTGTCTCTTACTCATGTACCACACAAAAAAAAAACCTGTGGTTTTGTCTGCAGTACCTTCTGTTGACAGTTCATGTACTGAACTCCAGGACAGCAGACACAAACAGCTGTGATTAGCTGCAGAATCAGGTAAGATTTTGATACTTACTATAAATATAAATTATACTATACAATAGGATATCCAATGTGGGCTCACTTCTTGTCATTTTCTGTATTGTAATTGTTTGTCAATTTAATTACATTTGTCTTAATTTGTCTTATTTTTTGTAAATGAATAGACTAAAAATTAAAGAGAAAGAGAATAGGAAGTTATCATGATCCTATAATGACTATTTTAATTTTCAATTAGTTAAACATATATACTGGTATAATGTTAATAATGTGAGAATTCATCATATGAATGCAAATACATATAAATAAAAAATAAGTCATTTGAGCAATTCTGGATGTGGTTTGTTAGGGGACGACAACCTGATTTTTTTCATAATTTATCAACATTGTTTGTCTGAATTATTTCTTCAAAGTTTGGATAATTTCTTAAATAATCTTGAGAATTTATAGAAAAGAGAGTGCAGAGTCATTTTTCTGATGTCGATAGCCTGTATGATGGGCATCTCAAACTCAGATTGTCTTGAGGCCACTGCTGGTATTGTCATCTCATTGTTCAAGTACTACAAAAAAGCGGAACAAAGCATCTTTTTTAAAATGTTTGTTTGTTTTGCATATGAAGACGTAGTTTAAATTGATATTCTACAACTAGAAAGAATAATGATAATTAATCATCTTTATATAGATATAGATTATATTATATTTTTTGCATGTGGTCGTGGGCTGGAGGCAGGGGGATGGAGGACCAGAAATGGCCCCAGGGCCAACAGTTTGAGACCCTTGCTGTATAAGGAATTTAATTTCTTTAATTTAATGCCAGTATTTATAAACGGCTCTTGCATGCAAAGATTAGTGTTGTTAAGTAAGGTCCACTTTCACAACTGGTTTTGCTCACAACTTACATTTTTATATA